AAGTTAGAGATTCGAGTCTTGGAATCTACGTTAGAATTCGATGGTTGAACACTATATTAGCCTAGCTAGGTTCATTCCCTAGAGAAATAACAGATGTGATAAGAGATCTCATGATCCCACCAACAACAGCCTATTAGGAATGTCTCTAAGCATTTTCTTTCACCCCCACCATTTCTTTTTGAGAGCCAAAATAAAACAAATAAAAACATGTGGACAAAAATATTCCGCAATAGAAGCAAGCTAGTTGGCCAAAAGTTAGTCAATAAATATACAAAAGGTGGCTTCTTTCTTCGTTTTAGTGCTGGGATCTAGGACTCCAAAGCCAATCTAGTCGCTAGACTAGCCTTTTAGCTTTAAAAAAAATGTTATCATCTCATTTATTCTTACCTTTCAAAGACATTGGGGATCAAAAGTTGACAGCTAAAGATAGGAAAAGTTTTAAGGTTTGAGAATACATTGTATGATTAGTGTGATTTTTTTACATAGAACTCATATTTATAGCATAAAAAATACCTAAGACAAATATAATCATCGCTCATATTGATCATTTATAGTTACCTATATTAGATCATGATAGTTTCCCTTTGATTAGATGTTATCATATCTATACTAGGTTTAAGTTGTTTTGGATCCTCTATAAACAAGAGAGGTCTATGTCTAACTCTTTTTAGTATGATATAACAAGTTGTTCCAGCCTCCAAGGATTATGAAATGGAGATTAATGGGCATCTTTGTCCTCTCACACACATTTTCTTCTTAACGCACAAAAGATACATATATCTATCACTCGATAATGTAAACCTCGACGCATGAATTCGAATTTTAACAATTTTCTGAGATCAGACAATGAGAGACTTATTCTTCACGAATATTCTAGTCCTGACATGGATGGTCTTTGACCGGACTGTAGAGGGAATTAATTAAAATGTGTGTGAACTTACCTACACATCCCTAATCATTTAACCAAAAAAAATAAAACAAAGAAAACATATATAGTAAATTGACCTCGATTTCAACAAAATTATTTCACTTTTTGAATTAGTGAGCTCAAAATCCTTTCAAAATCAAATGAATGAAAGCATGGGTCCAATATACCATAATAATCAACGCCATTAGTAGAAAGCCACTTTTTTTTCTGAACTCATGAAATTGTGGCTTTTGATTCAATGACACATATTATATGTTGCCTACTCTAGTAGCACTAGGAGGGGGGCAAGAATTTAGTGAAGTATTTTGCTAAAATAGCTTCTGAATTCAACCGAGTGATCATCAGGTGCTCAAAAACAAAAGCAAATGCAACAATAATTTCCACAACATAGTAGTCTTTTTCTGTCACAGACAGTAATGCATGAGATGTTGTCAAAAGGGAATCAATTAGGGTTGTCCGATAGCTGGGGGGTCCAAGACCCCAAAACCAACCTAGTTGATAGGGTTATCTTTTGGGGTAAGACTATTTTGGTAAAAAGATTAATGCTATGTTTCTTAAAACATATCTTAAATTTTCCATCTTAAATGTATTTGTATCATTCATAGAGAGTTTGGGATATATTTTAGAAAGCATAACATTTCTCTTACCAAAAAATTGTTTTTCGAAAATCACACTAAAAGTTTTTACAAATTAAAGTTGAATTTATGACCCAAAAATCTGTTTTTGGTCTAAATTTGACCCCGTAGAGTCACAATTAACCGTTTTAAGTCGTTACATGATCCAAAATAAGAGTAATTTTATATAATTTAATTGAAACTTAAAAAGTTGTAACCCAAATACATATTATTCTTTGGATGCGTATATCCCTTCAACTTTTCAATAGTACTTACTCATCTAAGAGATGATATGCATTTAAATTATAATTTTGAGTTCCATTTGAGTTGTGCAGTATTAAATCGTAATTTCAGTACCACTGGCCCCTACATTTCACTAAATACTGCTATATATCTTGCCTAGCTTTTTTTTTTTTAGTGTCTCCCCCATTTAAACTGCAACAATGCTACATAAACCACCTTCTTATATTACCTTTGTACACCATCTCAACATACACAGTTAAATTAATAGATTTTAGGGTGTTTATTAAATATTCAATAATTCTGATTTAGCTCTATCACATGGTACAAAAAAAGTATGCAATGTCAACGTCATTATTCTTTTAAACTGTCATCCCCTATCTAATTTCCTTCCCCTGTCTCTCCCCTAACTGGAACAAGTACCCTTGGCCCCTACATTGGTGGTGCAGAACCAACAAGCCTATTCTTGAGTGGCCAAAGGTACCACAGAAGCTTTATGCTTCTGAGAGTCACATGGGTAGCAAATTGACCAAACCCAATAATCATTACATCCAGTAAACAACACTTGATTTGCTAAAAATAATCAAGTGCAAGAAATTTGAAAGTATTTAGTCGTTTTAAGCAATACATTAATTGCGGCTTCAAATTTGGTATTGCTCTTCTTTAGAATAGGGATAAAACTATCGCTCTATATTTGAAAAGGACGTAACCAGTGTACGAGATTTTTTGTTATTGTAAGATTTAAAAAAGATTATATGTACGTTGTCTTATCTTTAGAAACAGTAAAATTATTTCTATGACTCAAACCTCTAACTTTCAAATCACAAAGGAACAATCTTATCATTGTGCCAAGACCCATCCTCAACCTTACCATTGCATACCCACTGCCTCTGTATCCCAAACCTTTTTATACACGGGATATTGTACACTATAAATACAATAGCATGTGTTAATTTAGTGTATACCCAAGTAAAAAAAAAAAATAAAGCAATAACAAGTGCTTAGCTTTTTAAACAATGCATTCAGAGTTGAGTTTGCATATCCACTTCTATAAAATATGTATAAAACTAACTAACGTTTATCAATCTCAAATCCCTTCGCAGACCGAAATATTGTATACCAAATACATGTTTTTTTTTTCTCTCTCTTGTTATCAATATCCCTGAACTGAGATTTCATAGAAAGTTCATGCTGTCATCTTTTGTTTTCAATGAAGTTCAGCCCATGGTCTTCCTAAAACCTTAGGCCACAAAGAAACATGTTCTATCCTTATTCCACCTCACTGCATTCCACCAAACCATTTCGAGATAAAATCAGGAAGATGGGTCTCATTCCATTAATGAAACTATCTTAGTTTAGTCATCAAAGATACGTACTTTTGTCTCTATTTCCATATATCTCCACAGAGTTCAGCTAATTTGACAAGTAACAGGACTTCGCATATAGTTTAGAAAGGGGCACAGATCTAGTGTTCTAATTCTAAAAACTGTTTTTTTTTTTTTTCAGTTCAATGGTGAGGAGTGTCTAAGTTAGTTTATGAGCATTACTAATCCTTTCATTGGTCTAGTCAAAAATAAGTCATCAACGCCGAGACTGGGTACTTATGAGAGATAAATTTTTTATGATCTGACCTCAAGAGATTGTTAAAATTTAAACTCAAAATATTTGATTTTACAACTTATATTTGTTTCCATTTGAACTACGCTTCTTAAAAACCCATTTCTCTCCCTTTTTTCACAAAAAATTTTGAACAGTCAAAGGCAACAACCAAAAGACAAATTGTTCTATACTCTCTGTGGTCCAGCAGGAGCATTAATTTAAGACTCAGTAGGGGCCTCCCCAACATTCAACTAGAGTCCATTAGATTATATCTGAATACAGTGCATTTAACACAAATAGACGTTCTGTAAGCCAATAAAAATCACCAATATGTGAAGAAAGATTTTGATGCCGAAAACTGACTAGGGTATCTGTACAAAATGGCAAAAAAATGAATAAAGTAGTGAGGGAAGCACATAGGTTGATTTCCGGATTTCAATGATTAATATCTCAAGGTTTCAAGTACAACTCGTGAGACACATTTACTAACCTCCACGCGTCATTTTTTGAGTGATTATTACATAAATCCCAAAGATAGTGACAAGTAAGAGTCCGAAAAGAATATGATCATTTAGACCAGGTAAAATGGGTTATGTTGTTTCGAATTTGTGACGCGAAGTGTCGGGTCAAAACTATTCTAACTCATACTTTACTTTTTTTATGATCATGTATAGCATGGTTTCTATCATGCATGCAAGTATTGTGTACAAGATGTGTTTAGCGAATTTGTTTGGTAATTAGTTTAGTTTGTATAGATTTATTTATTTCATAAATCTATCAGATCAAACTTATGCTAACTAATTTTTTATTGATGTCATGTCCGATTAACAAATATGTCAAATTTCGTGTTGGGTTAAAAAATGGTGGCTCAAACTCAAAGTGATAATTCAAATGATAATATTGACTAGCTGTAATTTTAGATGTCCTGAATTTAAATTTTGGTAGCTCCTTATGGTTAGACTACGAGATTTGTCTTTCATGAATACTCTAACCCCAACGTGAATGATCTGTTTTTAACCGGATCAGAGATAGAATTAGTAGAAATACACGTAAGTTAGTCCGGACACCCTACCCATTAAAAAAAAAAATGGTGACTAAAATTGTGATGCCTAAAAATGTCCGAGACTCAATGCAATAAAGAAATCTGATCTTCAGACTGAAAACCATTGTGCACAAATTTGAGAATTGTGCATGCACCCAAGTAGTGATTCTTTATTAAAGAGAAATAAAGTGATGACTTCACGTGGGAAATGAAAAAAAAAATGGTCCCTGGTCCAACCATCCAAGGATACAAAATTACGAATATGTGTACCAAGAGTAGCTGTAACAAAACCAATGTAGGTATAAGGTTGAGGTAATGAGGTTGGATCCTCCAACCTTCCTCTATATATTCTTCCCCACCCTTTGCCTTCTTTAGGCTCCTCAACATCCAGAGTTTTCTTTTGTTCACACATAAACAACATAGCCAATCTCTCTCTCTCTCTCTCTCTCTCTCTCTCTCTCTCTCTGTGTGTGTGTGTGTGCATGTGGTTGTATGTGGGTTTGTATCAAAACATAACATGCAAGAAATAAAACAGAAAATGAACACACCACCCCAAAATTTGGTCAAACAACACCGCATGATCCTCATATTTCTCACTGTCTCATTATTATTCACGTGTTCTACTTCTACCCACCAGCCTTTGGCCACCCCTACAAACATTCAATCATCACTAAAACCATTGACATTCGATGGCAATCTCAGCTTTGAAAACATTCACCAAGCAGCCAACGACTTTGGCAATATATACCACTTCCTTCCCTCTGCAATTCTCTACCCAGAAACAGTTTCTGATATTTCCATCGCAATAAAACATATTTACGAAATGGGCACCACCTCTGGGTTGACAGTTGCAGCAAGAGGCAATGGCCACTCTCATCATGGTCAAGCACAGGCATATCAGGGGATCGTAATCAATATGAAATCGCTCCGGGGACCGGAAATGCAGTTTTACACCGGAGAGCTGCCGTATGTGGATGTTTCCGGCGGTGAACTTTGGATAAATATTCTGCTTGAGAGTCTTAAACATGGGCTGTCTCCAAAGTCTTGGACTGATTATCTTCATCTCACGGTGGGAGGGACGCTGTCAAACGCCGGGGTCAGTGGGCAGGCATTCCGGCATGGACCTCAGATCCATAACGTCTACCAACTAGAGGTGGTCACAGGTATTAACGTCAAATTCGAGTACTTAGGTCAAATACGAATAACTCAATTTTAATAGCAGAAACTTATTTAACTAACGATTTTTTTTGTCCCTCTCATTTATTTGCTTTATTAATGTATATATTGTTGAACAACACATACTTTTTGATTTAGTTTTACTTAGATGGTGGATTTTCAAATAGATTTTTAATTTTCATAGACCGTGCGTATAAATTTGAGTTGAAAGAGAATGAGTCCTGACTTTATGATTTTTGGCTAACGGCTATTCCTGTCGATTCTAACATGAAACACTACTAAAGGACATATTGAACATGATACGACGAGACTTGATTGATGCTAATTCTGAAATTTGTTCCCTCTTTGGGGTACCATTTGCAGTCACTAAAGGAAAGGTTTTGTCATGGGAAGTGGCTTTTGTACCTGGCACTCGCGACCCAGTTATGCATTGCCTCTCTAGTGAACTTTACTCAACCATGTTATTAAATATCAGAATCATAGAGGAGAATTTTCCCAATAAGGCTATACAATTTTATTTATTTTTAGTGACTTAAGGTTATAGTCCAACATAATGGCAATAGTAACTCATTTCTGTTATACCTTTAGCAATGCTCATGTCTTTGTGTTAATGTTTAAATTGTGTCATGTCAAACATCTGCTAAACTCATTCAAGATTCATTTATAATCGTGTATAATCAGTTTTGTTTTGTGTATAAATCTTATGTTAAAGTATTTTAATAAAAAGGAGTATTCTTAGGGGAAACACAATCTTACACCAACTAAGCTACTAAAAATAGTTGAGTTTATATTTGAGTTAAGTGATACCTTAAGACTCTCACGTATACAGGGTGTGAAGAGCAAAAGAGATAAAATAGAAAAATGTCGTGTGAAATTTTTACTTCATTCGATTGTGTAGATCACAGTGAAATGACAATCAATTAAGTTGGATGTTGTATCTTAGAGATGACGTGCTATGCTTTACTACACCGTATTTCTTCTATAAAAGGGTATAAACCATCTTAAAAGAATGATCTATTCCGCTGCTCACTTTACTGATTATTTTATTTTCTCATTCATGTTTTCAAGTATAGCCATGTCTACCCAATACTTCGAATTGTCACTCTTATATGTACCAGAGCAAAGAAGGGATAACTGATACTTGTTTGAGTGCAGGAACAGGAGAGGTGGTCACCTGTTCGGAGAAGCAGAATGCTGATCTTTTCTACGGTGTTCTTGGAGGACTTGGACAGTTTGGCATCATCACCCGGGCCAGAATTTCTCTAGAACCGGCACCTATGATGGTAAAGCAACTTACCTTTTGATCCTTCAAGAAAAACCACCACTACCACTCCCCCGCCAACCCCGCTGTTATGAATCCGTGGGTAGAATTTATCCCTGAAAGTCAACTTGTAAGGAAAAGGTGCTCAAGAGTTTATATACACACATCTAATATTATTGTTAACTAATATGGAATCATAACATTCCACCACACTTCCGTAGCCGACGTCCATGGTGGTTCACTCTAATGGTACTGACCCAACGATGGCTCCACTCACCTATCAGTATTCAATTTGATAGTACTATACCTATATATAATACCAAGTCATTTTAATTCAGTCTATAAATCGCCCTTTCCGTGACTCGACCACAGAGAGCTGTAGCTCACATTGTGTTCAATCTCATACTTGACGTAGTAGTTAGCTTTGAGACCAATTGTTATGAACCTATGGGTAGAACTTGCTCTTGAAAATTGGCTTACAAGGGAAGGGTGCTCAAAAATCTATTTTTTCACTATTGACAGGTGAAGTGGATTAGAGTGCTCTACTCAGATTTTTCCATATTTACCAAGGACCAAGAGCATCTAATATCATCCCAGAATGCTTTTGACTACATAGAAGGATTTGTCATCATAAACAGAACTAGTTTAGTAAACAGCTGGAGATCCACTTTCAATCCAAAAGACCCAGTTCAAGCCAGCCAGTTCATTTCTGATGGAAAAACACTATTCTGTCTAGAAATGGCCAAATACTTCAACCCTCAAGAGATTGATTTCATGAACCAGGTGAGACTTACTGGACCACCCATATCATGCTTCCAATACCTTTACACAATCCTTACTCTATTCCACGTGTACCCGGATTTATAACCAATTTCCTAATCTAGCATTGTTTACATGAAGTGTTGTTTGAATCCACGCTTTATAAGGGAAATCGTGTTCGCAAACAACATTTTCAAGATTTTTTATTGAAAAAAGGACCTACTTACAAAAAAAGGGTAATTCGATCAAAGAAACCAGTGACCACATCTTGACGTGTGTCGTTCTATTTATGCAGAAAGTTGACAGCTTGCTGTCAGAATTGAGCTACATTGAGTCCACACTGTTCCTATCAGAAGTCTCATATGTCGAATTCCTGGATAGAGTGCATGTTTCCATGTCAAAACTCCAAGAAAAGGGGTTGTGGGATCTTCCTCATCCATGGCTGAATCTGATCATACCCAGAAGCAGAATACCTGAGTTTGCCCGGGAAGTTTTTGGAAACATTCTGACAGACACTAGCAATGGTCCTATACTCATCTACCCAGTTAACAAATCCAAGTAAATAATTCACTAACTAAAACAAATCTCTATAACAAGCTCAAAAAAATATAGTGTTGATCATAACCTGAATTTCACTCAACTTTGTAATGCAGATGGAACAATATTAGGACATCGATGATCACCCCCGACGAAGATGTTCTCTACCTAGTGGCTTTCCTACCCTCCGCAATGCCAGGTTCCACAGGAACAAATGGCTTAGAACACATCTTAAACCAAAACAAAAGGATTCTTTGTTTCTGTGAATCGGCCCATCTCGGGGTGAAGCAATACTTGCCTCATTACCAGACTCATGAAGAGTGGAAAGCTCATTTCGGCTCTAAATGGGGGGCTTTCGTTCGGATGAAATCCACCTATGACCCTCTTGCAATCCTTACCCCTGGCCACAGAATTTTCCAAAAAGGCAGGGTGTTTCAGTGACATTGGCCAGAGGAATCAACAAACACAGCAACATCAGAGCTCTCAAAGATAAAATTTGTGCACTGGCAGCTTATGGATATGTTCAACAGTGACTTCAGAGCTCTGGGCAACAGGACATTGATGCAGTTAGTATAGCAGAAGACTAAATGGCAGATTAAGATCATCGAAAGCAGTGTAGATCAGGCACCGATCAGGACTGATTTTAGGTGAAAAGCTCTTGGCGATCTGACCAAGATTGAAGAGCTTCATCCTAGTCGGTTTTTTGTAAAAAAAAAAACACAGCATCGAGGGTACTTTTTAAGCATTTTTTTTATCCCGTTGCTTGGATTATTTTTGTAATACTACGTATTTACTTGGTTTTTCTAGTAATTGAGGACCGTTTCTTATTTATATTGTGTTGAAAATTAATTTTAAAGCTTTGGTTTATTTTGAATAAAACTTAGAGACGAGTTCTCCTTCAATTTTCAATTGACATGGTATTCCTAAGAATCAACAAGGTTGTTGAAGACTATAATCTATTTTCTAGTCCTGACGTTTATGGTTTGCCTTTGACCAGACCAATGAGAAGATTAGTCGAGATATGCGTAAATTGATCCGAATACCTTTGACCATTGAACCAAAAAAGAAAAAGAAATACAAAGCCCCCTAAACCAGAGGACGTGTTCCATAGACGTCAAAGATACCCAATCAACGGGATAAAAATTAAAAAATAAAAAATAAAAATGCCAAAGCCTAATAGGCTGCATCTTATCATAAATTCTTGGTGGTCAGTACATATTTCGGACACCATATATTTCCACATGTACCACAACATTTGAGTCTGTGTTCCACCAAAAATACTGTGGCCATAATTTCCAGACTAGAATCAGACCATGTCTGATATAGAGTAGCGGGAATAAAGAAATGAGATCAAACAACAGAAACTATAACCTGTTGATTATCGTGAGTGATAAATCCCTTATAGTTTAGACCTAAAGAGTTATTAGGATTTAAATTCAAAACGTTTGTGTTTATAGTTTATCCTGAGCTAAGTGTTTTGTATTTCGAACAAAGTTTGATGAAGGGCTCAGGTTGGCATTCGTTGCTCTAAACACCAGACGTACTTTCTTCTTTTTTTCGTAATAAAACTACTCCTATCTATCGAGGTAGCATATGTGAGCATATGATCGGATTAGCAATCTTGGTGGCAGAGCAGAAACAACATTTCAAAATTGCAATAGGAAGCTTCCACTTAGCTCCTTGGTTATAAAGTCAGTTGTTTGGAAGCTGCCATGTTTGTAGAAGTCTATGATTCCTGGGGGATTTCTTGAATTTTAGAGAAGCAGTCAAGGCCATGCTAAAGCCTGGGCTTTAGGCCCTATTCAGATGGAAGATCCAAATTTGTGTCCATATCAATAGCCCATGTCAAAATTTTACATTCATAATATTTTTAGGCCCAGCAAAAAAGTCATTAGGGGGTCAGTTTTCTTTAGAGAACTTATCATGAATTAAGTCCTTCACTTAAATATGTTTGGTATTAAGTCCTATTATTATCTTTTTGGTAAGCGGTTAAATCCACAATTTTTTATAAACACCAAAAAGCTATTTATATAATGTTTAAACAACATTTAAACAATAAGTCTATTTTCTAATTGAGAAAATGCTCTGATTTTATCATGCTCATATCTTCTGCCAGCAAAATTTGAAATTTAAAAGCATGATCCAAATTATGCTTCTGTTATTGGTTTATGAATTTAGTTTTTCATAGATCATACTTGGAGCTCTTTTTGCCAGAGTTCTTAAGCGATTTTTGTCGGAATTATTGAGTGTGTTTGTTAGAGTTCTTGAGCGCGTTTTGTCAAAATTTGATCACAGTCGGAGTTCTTTTTGCCGGAGTTTTTGAGCTTGTTTATTATAATTATTTGAGTGTGACTGCTGGAATTCTTGAGAACGATTTGGCGGAATTCTTGAGTGTAATTGTTGGAGTTATTTTTATCACCGTGTACTCCTTCTAATTCATAGGCGGAGTTCTCTTCTAATTCAACTTCTTCAATTCCTATAATACCATTTTTTGAAGTCAACATCTCCACAATGCTTTAGAAGTATTCGACGAAATGCCCCGAAGCCATTCCAATATCTAAAATAGCCGTTGTAATCAGCCCCAATAACTCTACTGACTCCAAATGCTTAAGCTGCAATATGGAACAAATTCAAACACAAAAGGAAGTGGGAAAATCATCCTTGGAAGCACGGATGCTAGATAATCCAGCCCAAACACAGGCTAAGGAAGCTTGAACTCTGAAGTTGGTGCATCCCAAGGCAGAGCTGATCCAACTAAAGTGGTGCAGCAGGGATTAGGACATATTGAAAGGAGAATTCAACCACACACTTCAAAACATCAGAAGTGCAATTCTTTGTGGGGCTCTTTAGTGAATTATTAGGTGTTTATGGATCGATATGCTTGATGCTTGTTGAGCATATTACTATTTTTTTATTATGCATGTTACTAGTTATTTTTTCATGTTATTATTTTTTTTCATGGTATAATTTTTTCATATAATTACTTTTTTTGTTGAGCATGTTACAAATATTAATAGTCTATGTTACTATTTTTTTTTTGAATGTTACTATTATATATATGTGTGTGTGTGTGTGAAAGAGAGAGAGAGAGAGAGAGAGAGATAAAATAGTCTTAATCTATATATAAATATATATATGGATATGATAGAGATATAATTTTAATACCAGTAAAACTCATAAAATTTAAAAATTGTTAGTTTTTAAATTTGTTTTAATTAAATATAACTATTGAAAATGTTTTAAACAATGAAAATTAAAATGAACTTATTTTCAAATAAATCTATAAAAGATGACTGATCCCGAAATTTTCTATTTTAAAATTTAAGCCCAATAAATAAGGCCCATAATCTAACCCACAGCATTCAAAAGCCGAAAGAAAAAAAATAAGCTAAAGGTAAAATTAAAAACAAAGCTAATGTCTACTCATCCCCACAGCAACCACCCATATTCCCTCCCTCTCTCTCTCTCTCTCTCTCAGACACACACATATTGTTATGTGCCTTTTTTCATTTGTTAATTTTAATTTTTTTTTTATGATTGGTACAACACAAAAATCTAACAAATTATTATTTTTATCTAACTTGTATCAATTGTTACATTTTTGGAGTAAATCATCATAATTAGACATTACAAGAAAAATAACATATTTGCTTTGGTCTCATAAAAAAAATGGAACTTGTAGGAGAAATCTAATATATATTAAATTCACAGATAAAATAATTTTACGAGATTGTGGACTGGAAATAAATATAACAAAATAATTCTGAGTTTTTACTTTGTTTTAAAATATCATAAATCTATAAATGACTAAGTTATATTATTAATTGAGAATTATATACGAAAAAAATTGAAATGTCACAACTTTATTTGTATTTTCTCATTTTGAATAGAAAAGCAAAAAATATATATTTCAAATAAATGTATTTTAATATTTATTATTATTACTTTATTAAATATTAATAAAACCTCATTTATAAATTCCGCTTTAAACCCCCAATTTCATTGGGCCGCCTTCGGAAGTAGCTCTTGCTCTAATGGCCTCGACGATGGTGTTACATGCACACTTTCAAGAATTGAGAAAACAAACTAAAAATAGAAATCTCCAGTAATCCAATTCGAAAATAACCAAATTTTCAAAATTTCACAAGAAAGTTTATTGCAATATTTAACATATCATTTTCACTGATAGAAAAGTCTTTATGATAAATTAGGTTAATAACTAATATAATACATGACTCCATTATCTTAATAACCACAAAAAAAACTACCCACAATATACTCTATTACTAACTAATCATTAATAATCTTTCAATAACCAACTCCTAGCAAAGATTACATAAAAATATATATTAAAAATGTACATATAACAGACGGATTGCAGCAACACTATGCGGTTTGGTGGGCTCTATAATCTATTTCTTTCCAAATCTGGTACAAAGTCACTTGGAGGTTGAGCTTCTCTAAGATTCAAAGCTTTGATTTGCCCTTCCATCTTAGCTACAATTCATGGACTTGCTACCATGAGCAATGTTGTCAATACTCTCCATTAAACTGCATTAAGTGAGAACAAATGTTGTGGGAGCGTTGACATTCAAAGAATAAGTGTTGGTGTGATTCAGCAACAGTTCTGCAGAGTAAGCACTCCAATCTCAATTGGGGAGCATAGTGGTGGGTCCTATCCTTACTGCTAAGCCTGGTTCTTAAGGACACCCAAAGAATAAAACTCATTCTGGGTATAGCTTGAGTAAACCATACTATGTGATACCATGGGGCACTGAGGAGGAGTGTGATTAAGATTTTCATATTGTACTTTCAATTAGATAGAAAGGTAAGTAACAATGTGGTCCAGAACTAAATACTCATTACTTTGTTTGACAACGATTTTGATGTACTTGTTTATTATTATATTTTTGTTTAATTATTTACATACTACTCAATTTTTAGTATTTTATGGAAATATTTTGTACTCAGTTATACTAAAATTGACTTTATTACTACATTTTTACGGTATTGAGGGTACACTGTAAGAATTTTAATATTTTTTTAATGAAAATTGAGAATATAAATATTTTTCGGAGTGCAAAGTGTTATTCGTCTAAAAGATATTGACGTGGTAAAAACCATTATCGAAAGAGTGGCCCTAGATAAAAATTGCCACGTGGAAACTCATGGGATGTCAATTTTAGTCCCACTTGATCAAATAACTTGATATTGAGACACATGAGACCTCACCTTTTGAAGTACTTGATCAAATAACTTGATCTCATCTTTTGAAATGTCCCTTCATGTTATCAGAAGAAAAAAAAACCCTTTGGGATAGATTCATATAGATGTCTATTTGTTACTTGAACCCTAGCATTGGAGATTTTTATTCTACTTTGGGATGTCTTATCATGCTCTCCACAAATTAGTGTACTTGAGTCTAATGGTAGTATTAGAAGTTGAAAACAACCCCCTCAAACTTACATTGAATCTTCTTGAACCTGCTTTTTATGAGTGTTGGAAACCTATCTAATTCAGCAATTCATTGTATTCTTTAACTTACAAAAGTTGAATTTGTTGTGTCTATACATAGATAGTGGCATTGTGTCAAACCCGTTGTAGTAT